CCCGCAGTTAACGCCGGGGCAAACTGCGTCGACCACAATGACCCAGGCCTCCCCTTTTCCCCGCCCGCATCGCCGTCCTCCTCTTCTTAATTTCCTCCTCCTCCTCCTCTTCATTTTCCTCCTCCTCCTCCTCCTCCTCCTCCTCTTCATTTTCCTCCACGTCCTCGTCGCCGCCCTCCTCCTCTTCTTAATTTCCTCCTCCTCCTCCTCCTCTTCCTCCATTCCTTTTCCTCATGAGCAACTCTTCCCTGTCGCACCCCGAGGACGGTCGTGAGGGTGGGCCAGGCGGTTCGCCCGAAACCTCCTCATCATTAGCGGGCCTGCAACTCAACATTTGCAAGAACTTTACGGATGGAGGGCGGGTGGTCTTCAAAACGTGGCTCTCGCCTTCGCGCCGCGTGTGCTCGTCTTAAACAAACTACAGGAACTCACGGATGGAACGCAGGTGGTTTTCAGCATCTAATTTTCGCCTTAGCGCCGCGCGCATTCTGTTTTCACGTGTGCAAGTATTTCGCGGGGCGGTTTCAACATGTGGCTGTCGCCTAAGCATCGCGCACCTTCGTTTCTAAACCTTGCAACCACTGTGCTGATGGAGAGCGGTCCCTTTTCAAAATGTGATTCCTCTCGCCTTCGCGCCGCGCACATTCGTCTTCATATGCTCCAACCATTCAAAGGGCTCTCACGGTTGACGTCCTAGAAATGGCGTGTTGATGCGATGTCTGACTGTCAGGGCGCAACACTTACGTTGAGTCGTGATGTTGGGGACCCAGGATGGTGTTTTGGCACGATTAAGGGTCGCCAGGACGCAACAGAAACGGTGATTCGCGGCGTTGAAGTCCCAGGAATGGTGATGTTGTTTTCCAGCGGGGCATTCCTTGGGTGAAAATGAAGCCTTGTAGGGGCCTGCGCAGAGGGAGCTTGAAGGAAGGGTTTACTGTAATATCGTTGATGAGCTTTGGGCTCACACAGGTCCTCCCTCCTCCTCCTCCTCCTCCTCCCTCCTCTTCCTCGTCCTCGTCCTCGTCCTCCTCCCCCACCTCATCTTTCTCCTCGTCCTCCTCCTCCTCCTGCCCCCGCTGCTCGGATAGCAGGGGCCCCGTCATCGACTCGGGGATAGCCGGGGCACCCCCGCCAGCGGAACTGGTGGGCGGTCGGCGCTGCCTGTATAGGCGGGGTAGAAGTGGAGCCGGCGACCAGCCGGAGGACTGGCGGAGGCGGGAGGGGTCGCCCCCCCGGGGGAGGGGGGTAGGCTGCGGTGGGACTGTGCCCCTTCCTTCCTCCTGTCTCCTGGCTCCTCCCTCCTCCCCCCTCTCCCTCTCCTCTTCTCTCCTCCCCCCGGGGTTCACAGTGTCGCTGCGGTCCACTCCCCCGCTGGGGCTGGGCCGGAGGTGGCCGCGGCGGCGCGCGGAGCGCGCTGCCGCGGCGGGTGAACGCGGAGGGCCCACGCCGTGCTGGAGCGCGGCCAGTGCTCGGCGCCAGAATCACAGCGGTTGATTTTTCAGCTGCGAAGTTTTGGGGGGCCCTCTCGCCCAGGGAAAGCCTGGAATAGGGCGGTTTCATTTTCGACGGCTGCGCTCTCGTGCTCATGGCACAATTGAACGGCAAGCAAAATCCAAAGCAAAATCCTCCTCCTCCTCCTCTTTCTCCTCTTTCTCCTCTTTCTCCTCTTTCTCCTCGTCCTCCTCCTCGTCCTCCTCCTCCTCCTCCCGTTCTTCTCCTCCTCTCCCTTCTCCCACCTGGACGAGGCGGTGCCAGCCTCCGGGACGGGGCCCCTCCCGACGACGCCCCCGCAACGCAGCCCCGACCAGCGGGCTCCGAGACCGGGCCGGCGCGCCGGCCGGATCTCCACGGCCAGCACCGGGGGCCGAGGGCCAAGTCGGGCATGTGTCCACCTACAGGGGGATTTTGGACGAGAAGTAGGAAAAGACGCAAAACATATTCCAAAGATGCCCGAAGATACTCCAGAAATAGTCCCCAGACTATCTTTTGATTTTTTTTGAATATTCTCCCTGTAGAGGGACAGGCCCGACTCAAGCCGAGGGCCGGGGTCGAGTGCCGAGGGTCGCGGACCGAGGCTGGAGGTTCGAGGATCGTCAAGCCGCTGGTCGTGGGTGGAGACTTGAGGGTCGAGGGTCGTCCTCTTGGGGCTGCGGCTGGAGGCTCGAGGGTCGTCTCTGGGGGGTCCTCGGTCGAGGGGTCCTCGCGACCCCTGTGGGAACGAGGAAAGGCGACAACAACACCAGCAGGGCGAGCTCCGAGGTGCGAGGCGGCAAGGGGAGTCTCCCTGGTGGTGTGGTCCCCCCCCTCTCGCTCGAGACGTCCCCGGCATCCGGCTCGGGGAGGCACCGTGGACCTCCTCGGCTGGAGGCGGGCCCCCTGGCGGTGGTAGGTGTCGCTCCTCCTCCCTCGCGGCCCCCCCGGGCGCGGGGCCCTCCTTGTCCAGCCTCAGGAGCATCTCGTAGTCGTCGGGCGTGATCTCGCGCGAGAAGAGGTCGAAGACCTCCGCGCGCGGGGCCCCTCCGCCCGCGCGCCCCGCCGGGGGAGGCGCGGAGGAGATCTCGGCGGGCGCGCCCCAGAAGGGAGCCCGCTGGCCAAAGACCGCCTCCAGGGTGGCACAACAGGGCTTGGGTAGCCCACGTGAAGGGGAACTGGGGCACACAGATAAATAGGCACAAAAAAGCAGATTCCCCATATTCTCACATATTTTCTGGGCTTCTGTCTTCCCCCCACCTTCCCATGTTTTCCGGGCCTTCCCATATTTTCTGGGTTTCTGTCTTCCCCCCCCCCTTCTGGGGTGGACCTAAGACGGTGTTTTGGTGACTTCGTGGGCCGTTTTCGTTCCGATGTCGTTTTTGTTGCGTGAAAGGTGGATGGAAGACAAAACGAGGGCAGGCGAAGACAAATCGAAAACGAAAAACACCGTTTAATTAGGTTCAGCCCTGTGGCACGGCATGGCCTGGATGGCCCAAGGTGGATTCCAGCTTGCGCGCACGAGACCCCGCTGCCGTCAAAGGACCGCCCGGAGACGGCTCCGCTCGGCGGGGGTGCCAAAGAGGGGGGCCCAGACACAGGCGCGAGGCTACCATAAGGAACGCCAGAGCAGGAACGAAGGGGCTGTTCTGGCCACGGCGAGCCTCGGCCACGAACGGGTTCCCCGACCAAGACCTGGGGAACGGCCCGGGAACCAGAGCCCCTCCCGAGCCCGAGGTGGTCCTCTCGTCAGTGCCGTGACTGCAACCCAAGACCTCCTCCAAGACGGCACAAGGGAACCCAAGATGGCTCAGGTGTCACAGGATAAAGGGGGCTCTGAGAGTAAAGGAGTGTAAGAGAGAGGGCGGATGATACTTTATGCACGCGCACTCGTACTCTCGGCGACTCAAAGGGGAGAGTCGCCTCCCAAGCCAAAATGGCTGTGCACTACTGCAGGACACATAGGGGAGAGAGAGAGAGAGAGAGAGAAAACAAAAAATAAAAAAAAGGAACCCGGGACCCACGACGAGCCGGGTGACGATGACAGCGGACCCAACTTTGGTGGGTCCTGCAGCGGGGACTCCGCTTCTGAACCCACCCTGGCCTCGAACGCGAGGAAGACGGGCGCTCCCGGCCCCTCGCGCCTGGCCTGCAGGCGGCCGCCGCCGGCGATCTGCGGGGGGCGCCGGCCTGCCTCGGGCTCCTCCCGCCGCTCTCCTCCTCTCCTTCTGTCCTTCTCCGCCTCCTCTCCTGCCTCACCCCTCTTCCACCTCAGAGCTTCCTCGTCCTCCTCCGCCTCTACCTCCTCCTCCTCCTCCTTCCTCCTCGGGGTGACCTTCGCGCCGCTCCTCTGAGGCGTGCCCTCCTCCTCCTCATCCCTCCTCCTAGCCTCCTCAAGCAGGGCCTTACGACTGGCCCCTCGGGACCGGGACTTGAGGGACAGGTTGAGCGAGCGCTCATCGAGGTGCCCGCCCTCGTCGACCAGGCACAACGTGCCTCGACAGAGCAGGCCATGCAACGCCAGGTTGCTCTTGGCCGGGTCCGCATGCGTAACCCTGAGGTGCGCTGGCGGTTATTTTAAACGCCAAGACGATGGCAATTATTTTTTATTGCCGGCGTTTTTTTTTTATGTTCCTAACATATCGTGTAACCTAGATTTGCAAGATCTTATGGATTCAAGTCCATTTTTTCATAGGGTTATGACGTGTTGCTACGGTTTTACACAAGATTTACAAGGTTGTGCATTCGATGTTGCTGTGTATGATATATTGACATAAGCGTGTGTTGTGTTATTCTTCTGGTTATACAATATTGTGTTGCTTCGCATGCCTTTGGCCTCTACGGCTTGCGAACTTATATTGCGAGCTATAGGCCAAGTTCGAGAGGGGGATCAAGATTCATCTCGGACCCCGAGGGTAACGATATAAAAATAGGAGACATGATAAGTTAAGAGGAAGAGGAGGATGAGGAGGAATAAGGGGGGGAGGAGGAGGAAGAGGAGGAGGAGGAGGAGGAGGAGGAAGAGGAGGAGGAGGAGGAGAGGAGGAGGAGGAGGAGGAGGAGGAGCGGGAGGAGGAGGAAGTGGAAGGAGAGGAGAAGGATGAGGAGGACGAGGGAGGAGGAGGAGGAGGAGGAGGAGGAGAACGACGAGGGAGGAGGGTGAGGAGGAACAAGGAGAGGAGGAGAAGAAGGAATACGAGGAACAGAGGACTGCAGAAACAAGCAATAGACAGCACAGGCTGGACAGGAGGCTGGAATGATGAGGCAATCCCCGCAGCAGAAGGGGAAGCAAACGCAGCGGTGTGGTCCCGCGGCATTCTGGCTCCGAAGTCAAGGATCGGCATCCTCTCGAGGCCGTGCCTGGCCGAGGCCCCGCGCGCTCCGTGGTGGATAGCGGGCTCATGTTGCAGACGCAGCCCGACACCATCTCGTCTGGCAGTGCGGGTGAGAGCCGCGAAGCCTCGGCTGTGTCGTCGTACCCCGACAGGCTGCCAGCGTTCGGAGAGCCTGGGTATGAGAAGCATCATCATGTAGGTGTGGACAGGCCAATTTCGATCAGCGATGGATCTGACGACGAGCCGCTTGCCAAGTACAGGAAGACGAAGAGCGAGGGCGACGGCGACGGCGTGGCTGGCCTCGAGCCCCCTGAGGACGCGCCTGGCCCAGGCGAGTCCGACGACGACACGCGTGGCCCAGACGAGTCCGTCGACGTCGCCGAGGTCGAGCACGGCAGCGAGCCACACGGGCCTGATGCAGATGACGACGCTGACGGTGGCCCTGCTGCCGATGACGGCCATCATCTTGGCGATGGCGACGGCACGGTGCTCGGTGGCAATGATGACGGCGTGATCGACGGTGGCGGCATTCACCTCGACAAGGGCTCGGTCGGCACAACGGGTGTGAACACCGTCCCCTACGAGTCTGCGCAGGCTGCGACGCTGCCCTACGACGACGAGCCTCTGACCCCGCCGCCCAGAAAGCAAGCGCTGCTGCATGAAGTTCATTCGTTCTGCCAGAATGTTCAGAAGTCTGCAGGCTCCCTTGACGAGCTGCAGGTGCACGCCTCCCTGAAGCGCTTGTTCGACTCGTCTGCCGTGAACACGCTGCTCAAGCAGAAGCAGGTCGACGAGGGCACGCCCGAGCCCGTCTCGGCCGAGGAGACTGCGCAGGAGAAGGCCAAGGCGATGATGTGGGCAGAGGTGAAGGCCTTCTCAGCGGGCAGAAGATACGAGGAGGAGGATGAGAACGACGAGTAGGTATAGGAGTAGGAGTAGGAGTAGGAGTAGGAGTAGGAGGAGGAGGAGAGGAGGAGGAGGAGGAGGAGGCGGGGGAGGAGGATAGGAGGAGCAGGAGGAGGATGATGATGATGATGATGAGGAGGAGGAGGAGGAGGAGGAGGAGGAGGAGGAGGAGGGAGGAGAACCAAGGAGGCGGAGAAGGGGGAGGAAGAGGAGGAGGAGGAGGAGGAGGAAGAGAAGAGAAGAGAAGGAAGTGGAGGAGGAGAAGCAATAATGCCGAGGAGGAGGATCATGGCGACGACTACGATGAATGCAACTCGCCAGGCTGCGAACTTCTACTTCATGACGAAGGGGAAGCAGGGCAACAGCATCGCTGGCGTCTGGGAGCGCCACAAGAAGGCGGACATCGAGGGCGTGGCGACGCAGTACGCCAAGATCAAGGGCCGCGACAACCAGGCTGAGTTCAGGGCGAACTGGGCCAAGGAGCTTTACGCCAAGTACGAGAAGAAGACGACCAAGACGACGTCCGTGGAGCACGAATGGGTGAAGAAGAGCTCCATGGTCACGATTGGCCGCATGGCATGGAAATACGGCGGCGGCCCAGAAGGGTGGAGAGCTGCAAGCACTAGATGTGCGAAACTGATTCAATTGGGGAGCCCGTTCGTTGAGTGGGAGGAGTCTTCGGAGACGCTGCTCTTCGCGTACGTCCAGAGGGAGATGAACGAAAAGTTCGTCGAGGTTTGGACCAAGCACGAGACTTGGTTGCAGAATGCGGTGGTGAACGATGAGGCGTCGGACCAGGCTCGAGCCAGGAGGAGGAGGAGGAGGCAGAAGGAGGATGAGGGAGGATAACGAAGGAGGAGGAGACAGGGGAGGAGGAGGAGGAGGAGGAGGAGGAGGAGGAGAAGGAGGAGGAGGAGGAGGAGGAGGAGGAGAAAGAGGATACGATTCTCCACCCCTCCCACGAGGCCCAGCCGCACGCCGCAATTGCAGCTCCCGCGGCTTCGCTGGCGCAGGCAGTGCCCAAGGCGCGGAGGAGAGAAAGGAATGATGGAGGAGGGAGAGCGAAAGAGGAGGAGTAAGGAGGGAAGAGCAGTCGGAGAGGTGACCAAGAGGAGGTAGGTCAGAGGACGGATGAGGCAACATCTGGGCAGACTGGAGTAGACACGAGGACGAGGGGTGAGGAGGAAGACAGAGGAGGAGGGAGACATAATAGGCGAAGGATGCATGATGAAAGAGGGATGCAGGAAAAATAAGGAGGTGGGGGAGGAGAGGCATGAGAGCGGTGAGAGTAGGAATTTAAGAAAGGAGCCGGTGGGCGAGAGTGTGCGTCCGCCAGGCGAGCGGCCCCAGCAGCGCAGCGGCGGCGGCGGGCATGGAGATCGCTTCGGAGGGGCTGGGATCCGAGCAGGGGTGGGGTTATCTCACATCCCGTCGCGTTGATGTTGCATTGACGTTGCATTGACCGTACACTGACCTTGCATTGACCTTGCGTTGACTTTGCATTGACGTTGCGTTGACCTTGCATTGACCTTGCGTTGACTAACCACGCGTCGACATTCAATACGATATTGCAGTGACGTTGCATTGACGTTGCATTGACCTTGCATCGATACTGCATTGATCTTGCATCGAATTATGTGTTGCTATATGTATGTATATGGTCATTACACTTCATCTTTCCGCGGACAGTCCATTATCACCAACATCCTGATATGTTCATCGTCCTTTTTCGCTCCTGGAAATCATCCGTATAGCCGGTTTGGCTCGTCTAGCTCGGCGAGCCTGTCGG